TTTGTCCCTGCTGAAGAATGTGGAAATACTTTTTCAAGGCGCTGTAAGTACACACAGGTGAAACTCTGAAAAGATAATCCAGCTTGGCAAACCCCAAATAAAACATCTCAGAAAGTTTGAATATTTTGAAAACAAAAATCCACCTTTCCACTGACAGCTGTCTGACAAATGTCTCTGCCCCTGTTGAAGTAAAGTGGTGCCACACAATCCAATAAAATATGTTGAAATGTGGAAAAGTTCATAGAGTATTAATTCTTTTTAAAGGCACTGTAAATTAAAATATCCTTTATTTGTCCCACAGTGGAAATTTCAGATAATACATAGTGTAAAAAATTTCTCTCATCTTGTTTCTGTCTCCAGCCTCAGATTAATCCAGCCTCAGGAAAGCCAAGCTGCCTGCACAGATGTTGGTGCAGTTCTACACGGCCATCATCGAGTCCATCCTCACCTCCTCCGTCACCGTGTGGTTCGCTGGAGCCACAGTCAGGGACAAACAGAGACTACAGCGCATTGTGCGCTCTGCAGAGGAAGTGATCGGCAGCAGCCTTCCATCGCTGCAGGACCTGTACGTCGCCCGAGCTCGAGGCCGGGCTGGTTGTATCACAGCCGACCCCTCTCACCCTGCACATGGACTATTCCAACCACTCCCCTCAGGCAGGAGGCTGCGGTCCATCAGGACTAGAACCTCCCGCCACAAGAACAGTTTCTTCCCCTCTGCTGTTGGACTCTTGAACACTTCATAACCTGTCCCCCCGCCCTTTATAAAGTCACTTTACTACCCATCATACGTCACTTTACTTCACTGTACTGCTGTCACCTTACATTGTGTGCACCATGTGCACTTGTATATTGTAAATAGTAACTGTAACTCTATTTTAAATTTAAATTTATTCTTTAGAAGTGTTTTTTATTCTTATTTTTATTACCTCTTTTTGACTGTTGCACTGAGCCAAAGCAATTTCCTTTGGGAGGAGGTCTGTGACCTCCTGTTACTTACAAAGTAACCTCCTGTTACTTACGTGGCAATAAAATGATTCTGATTCTGATTCTGATTCTGATTCTGATTAATCCTGCGTCTAGAAAATGAGCCAATTTGAATGTTTATTTTGATAAAGCCCAAGAGGAAAGCCCACCATGAGAGGGTATGTTATGAACCTGCTGGGTGTCCCTGTATATATTTTGAAGAATAAGCTAGAGTTTAGCACTTAGTAAAATGACTGCAGGATTGTGTTGTGAGATTCATTCAGGACTTTTCTATTGTAATATTTTGGCAAACTGAGTTTCGCTTCTACGCTCAATGCCAACATCCAGATGAATGCAAGGCAGCAGAGCACTCCATGAGAATCAGAAGAGAATGATTAAATGTAAACACTCCAGGTTGGATAGCAGGAACATACAGCTGTAAAATGGAAAAAATACTAGAAGAAAAAACATAATCTTTTTGTTGGATTCAACCACATTCATGCAAACACATTCATACAGTAAATATGGAGGTGATAAAATAATATTGATTTGCAACTCTGAAGCGCTGGCTGTGAGCCCTCTGGCCACCAAAAGAAATCTGGTATAATAACATTTACCCCCCTGTGTGCACGTGCATGAGAGCCACACAAGCATAATTGGCCCAAAGCCTCATGGGAGATCGTCCACTGCACAGAACCGGGAGGACCAGACGATGCCCAAATATGGGCGAGTTCAGTTAATCTTTCCGTCCCTATGTATGCATGCGCTACTGCGCACAAGCCATTGATTTGAATAGGGCACCATCTTGGCTTGCTGGTTGGTTTGGAATACTTTGGAGCTCCATACATTGAAAATAAAAAAGTAAAATAAAAATTAATTGAGAAATACACAGATACTGTAAATATGTGGATAATACAGGAATGTTAACACAGTCGCTGCTGTGATGTGTGCGTAGGATTGTCTTAACATCAAAACTGAAAAGGCAGCCTCTATAGATATGTATCTTGTCCCTTGGGATATGTTGCTTTTGAAAATAATTCTGGGAACTTGTTCTATATAGTTAGCATCAAAAGTCTCATTGTCATGTGTATCCACATCTTGTTTACAGTGACCTGATAAAGACTTGAGAGCACAGAGTTTGTTTGAATCATAATCAAGCATCAAACGACTGCGTTGTTTCAAGTCTTCCTCTGATTGATTCTCTGTAGTGTTACTGTGAACACAAACTCATAATTCAATTCAGATTATACTGCTCAATGAAACAACTCTTGAACAATAATGTAATTCCAAGTTAAAGGGGCATCAGTCCGTCCAGTTAGAAGCTACACCAATTATGAATACATTTCACCTGATGTTGTGCAGGTAGAACCAACCACAGATGGAGATGAGTGGATGCCCACAGATCATCTCCCTCTCTTCATCCTTGCTCCCTCCACAGGTGTTGGCACATTTGCTTTTTTGTGTGTGCAAATGATACCTTTGATTCCTTTCACAACTGAAGGTACCATACAGCGAGATATTCAAGCCACAGAGGTCGGTGTAGCTCTTCCAGGATGGTCCCTCAATTAAGACGTGACAAAGTTTGTGGAGACCAGGAGGAGATACCAGCAGGACCGTTGTCTGCTCTTTTGCTCCTGAACCATTCATGACGATCTCCATGCAGGCCACTATTGTGCATATGTCTGGCTAAAGAGTCAGAAACGGACTCCATGAGGGTTTTTTGAGGTCTGGATGTCCTCAAGTTGCGACAGAACACAGAGATTGGCTATGTCTGCTCTGCATGGATCAGTGAAGGTCTTGGGAGGTATTTTCAGAAGCTCAATTAAATTTCATTCAACTTACTGTATTCTTGTATATCCCCAAATCACAACAGTAGTTGTCTCGGAGGACTTTACAAAACCGTTGAATTTGCCATCAGATCAGAGGATCCAACAGTTCAAACACAAGAAATGCAACAATTAAAAAAACACACTCACTTGAACTGCCACGGCCTATATCACTGATGCGAAAAGGCAAACTTTGCAATAATGGCATTATTAGATCACATCAGAAAAATTATAATGACAGTGATCATTTTACAGAAATGATTGTCGCTAATAGCACCAGAAATTACATTGGATATGGACATCTGTTTCAATTGTGCAATCATAGTCTCTGCTTCTCAAAGAGGTGTGGGCATCAAACATAATTACATTGATTGTAGGTTGTTTTGGTTCTGTCAATGACAATAAATGCTATACAATAATATTAAAATAAAGTAAATCTGGAAAACGCCTGCTAAATAGGCCTTTAAATCTATCAAAGTAATATGTTTTTAAGCCTCAAGATGTATATTATACTATATTTTTTGGCCTGGTACCTCAGAAACCTTCTTCTCTAAATAATTGCTAATCCGTCATCTTCCATTACCCTCACAAGATGTTTTTTTTCTCTCACCCTTGCACAAATCCAAGACAGTACTTCTTTAACACTCAGCAAATTTCCACTTTAGATCACACTGCCCACAAGTACCTAGAATCAGATCAACAAGTGAAAGAATTCACAGCAGAGGTGCACCACTGGCTCTGTTCTTCATCCACAGTTGATTGAGAGCAGTTTGGAAGAATTTAAGATAGGTCTTGAATTTGTACATTGGTGAAAATCAAGGCCAAAAGCTTTGAGGTTAAAACAATGAGAAATTTTTCTGCTATAACTAAACATATAAAATGATGCAATGACCATCATGAACTTGGCTAATCTTTTCTTTACATAAGTCACTTCTATAATTTCAAATTGATTGACAACTGCTATCATTTCAGTGAAAGCAGCTATACGATTATACGCAAATCAATATCTAACTTCCTCAGCTTTTATTGGCTCCTCTTTTCCAGAAATGCTAGTGGACTGGATTCAACGGCTGTCCTTGACCTCCTGTGACTGCACGTCCATATTCCCAGATGAGAGAACTTTGAGTTCAGCAGCTCTCTTTTCTCCACGGTATTTTACAAACACAAAATACTGTCACAACACTGCCAACCTTGGTGGATTTTAGGGCCCGATAACTATGTATGTAAAATACATTAGTGCAATTAGGGGTTATGGCATTGGTTGGGATTAAAGAAAAGAAAGCTAGGAATGAAGAGATAGGTTAGCTACCTAAATTAAACGCTAACACAAATCCATTATTTTTTGAATCATAGTTGAACACTGTATCTTAAGAATATTGTTGATAATGTTGTGAAAAATATCAGGGGCCTGTAATGAAATGATGACATACATGTATTATAGCTAGAAATAGCATTAATGACTGGGGTATGTGCCATTTAGGAACTGAACCACAGCAAGTTAAGTGATAAAATAAATTATTATGTTTTCGATCATTATAGCATCATGTAAAAATAGAAGTATTAACAATATCAATATGCAGCCCCATGTGACCACCCTGAAGTTTCACATCCACATTCGGGAGTTAAATGATTTTTTCTGCGAAAAACACTGAACTCCTTCCACTCTAAAGGGATTTACCTTGCTATTTTTGTTCCATCAGTGATTTATCAGTGCAATGATTCTCGAATAATACCACATGCCATACTTTTCCCCTGACAAAGAACCACCCATGCACTGATGGTGGTAACTACGAGCACATAGACAACAGTTGCCCTGAGGACAACTTATAGGAACCGACTTATGTCTCGTTTCCATCAGTCTCTATTTTAATTCTGTTCAGAAAAAAAAAAGATAAAAAGACTAGACAATATTAACTTCCACATTCCTTACTTTTTTGGAGAACTTTTCTTATTGACCCTCGAGTGGAAACTCTGTCCCAAGGCCTCAGCTGAACTTACAAGGCTGTGAATACATAAAAATGAGAGGTAAAACGAACCTAAACAGTTTTTTTTACGCTGAGCGTCCATGTTAATATATAGCAGTGAAGTGATCTGATGGAGTAGGTTGTGCTTTTGTAGCTCCTCCGGAATGTTAATTTAATTTGATATTTTATGCATCACTTTTTTTTTTCTCTGGAGTACCAGTCTGATTACCAGTGTTTATGTACGCGCATGTCGGGACGAATTAACGTGTTTTCAGCCCTAATAATGAGGAAAACTGACATCAGAGTGACCACACGCAGCACTAGCAAGTCTGAGCACGAGGGGGCTGCTACACCAATGGCTGAATCCGAAGCTAACCGATCACTGCTTGCTAGCATGAGAGAAATGATGGAAGAAATGCGCGGAGACATTATGAATGGACTCGGAGACATCGTTTCTGACGTCGTGAAAAAAGAGATTACGGGAGCTCTGTCACCATTGGAGGCAAGGATTGCATCATTTTCGAGTGCTGTCCGTGATTTGGAGCAAGCGGCTAATGAGCAGGACGGGAGGCTAACAGTTGTGCAGGCCTCGGTTAGCCAGCTACAGGATCAAGTTGCCTCTTTGACCAGAAAGTGTGAGGACTTGGAGGGTCGCTCAAGACTCAACAACATACGAATCGTTGGAATTCCGGAGAATTCAGAGGGCCCTCGCCCCACTGAGTTCGTGGCTGGCTTACTACATGACTTGTTGCGCCTGGATGCTAAACCTGTTTTGGACCGCGCTCATCGTACCCTACGACCCAGACCAGGGGAGGGAGCGCCTCCACGGCCTTTCGTTGTTCGTGTGAACATGTACCAAGTGCGGAACGAAATCCTGCGTAAGGCCCGTGAGTCTCCTCTTCATTTCAACGGGAGGCGAGTGCTTATTTTCCCCGACTATACTACGGCAGTAGCGAAGAAAAGAGCTACATTTGGCAGAGTTAAGAAGGAACTACATTCATGCCCTGGAGTGAAGTTTGGACTGCTCTTTCCAGCAACGCTTCAGATCACGCTGACTAGTGGGACAAGTCATAAGTTTGAAGACCCTGATGCAGCCTTGGATTTCGTGGAGAAGAATATTAAAACTGTGGTCGCCCCAGACTCTGTATGATGCATGGCGTGATCAGGTGGTATACACTATCGTGTTGACTGGACTGGTGTTCTCTGAGGTAGTTTACTCATTCTATTGTTCTACATAGGGGTGGGCGATATGGCCTAAAATTCATATCGCGGTATAATTTGGGTCATAGACGGTAGACGGTATATATCGCGGTATAATTTGGTGTGTGAATTTCAATATAGGTCTAGCAGGTTCTTGCATAAAATAGTCAAGATTGTTAATTATTTATATATTAGAATCTAATATATATATTTTTTGAGTTAGAAAATCAGTTGTGAGACGAATAAAGAGACAAATAACATACATTATTTATGTATGTTACAGTAAATACCATTCACTGTAAAAGCAATTTTTAAAAAGAAAAAACATATGCATTCATTTAAAATATAAAAAACTCACAAATGTTGAAATCAAAGTCTGTAGGAGTTAGACATGGTCATTAGTTATAGTGTCTGAGAGTTTTGTGCAGGTACATGACTTCAGTAAAAGCTGTTCGTTTACAAAGCTGGTCTTGCCATTTGTTGACGCTCCCTAAGTGCTTTTCTCTGCGCTGGATGATTCAATGGATTTTATGTTCATTAAAACAGGGCATTGGATTTGAACAATTGATGTAAATGGTCATTTTGGCACAAATAATTTTGTTCAACAAAGTAGCTTTCGTGAGATATTGACCGCGGAGGTCTGAATCTGACGCTAACTTTCCCAAACTTCTGCTGTGATGCTGTGGACACGGCACACGCATGGATCTATTTTGGCTCACGCTGGCGCTTCGAGCCTACGCCGCTTTGACACTGATTGGCCAAAAGGTAGACTCTTAAACTGTGATTACTGTGTGTGTATTTACCTCTGCTGAGGCCGCTGTGACAACAATACATAGACAGAAACACTGTGTTAATGCCGTGCTGTTGTTCGCTGTTTCCAGTGGTGTCCAATAGTGCTAGGCTAATGTGCTAGGCTAATGTGCTAGGCTAATGTGCTAGGCTAATGTGCTAGGCTAATGTGCTAGGCTAATGCTGCTGAATGCCGGTTTGTTTTGGTCCTTTCTGCTGGCGTCAGAGCCTGCGCAATTTAATGACATAATGACCTATCGCAATATGCCGGTATAACAAAAATCTCTACCGTGGGCCAAATTTATACCGTCTACCGCTGATACCGTTTATACCGCCCAGCCCTAGTTCTACATGTTAAATATTTCTCTTCCTTTAATAGAATTTATTCATATCATCTTTGTTGTGCCGTTAGTTTATACTTTGCAGTAATGCAGTGTTTTTCGTTTTGGATACATTTATTGTTATTATAGCATATATTCTATACACATTTGATTGTGTTTTTGTTTTTTATTATTATTTTTTTTTACATATGACTTTTTTATTTTAAACTTTTGAGAATTGCACAGTGCAAGCAAGGAGGGGAAATATGTCTTTTACTTATTAGATTAGCTTTTTTTATTTTATTGTAATAATAATAATAATAAGTATTATAAAATATTGACTTTACTATTACTTCAAAGTAGTGATGCATTATTTATTATTTTTCGTTGACATATAGCATTCCACTGGAGAGTAGGGTTTATTTCAAACTGCTCTCCGAGCCCTGTTTAAGGGCTCTTTTTGTAGTTTTTTGGGGAGGTTGGGGTCGCGCATTCCAGTTGGGGGGGTGCTTCTGCGACTTTGTCTATGTTCAGTTTTGGGGGTTTAGGCGTGTGAATGTAAGTGTGTGTATGGGTGTTTTTTCTTCTATCTGTTTTCGTCAGGTGTCCAGGGGGATCCGTGCCATCTCTCGTTCCTTGTTTGCAACCCATGTCGAACCATAGGACAGCACCAGCCAATGCTGTAGGACAACAAATTCGTTTTACCAGCTTCAACTGTAAAGGGCTTAACAATCCGGTAAAACGTAGTAAGGTATTGCATCACATCCAGCGATTAGGGGCTCATATAACTTTCTTGCAGGAAACGCATCTGAAAAACTTGGATCACAATAAATTAAAAAGGAATTGGGTTGATCAGATCTACCATTCATCTTTTAACAGTAAGGCTCGGGGGGTAGCTATTATAATATGCAAATCTGTCCCATATATACATTCACAAACAATCTCGGATCCTAATGGGAGGTATATCATTCTTACAGGCACTATTTGTAATGTACCTATCGTTTTGGTTAACATTTATGCTCCAAACCATGATGACGAAGGCTTTTTTAAGCGTTTATTTTCTCAACTTCCTGACTTGTCGAATCATAAGTTACTTCTGGGTGGAGACTTTAACTGTTGGCTTGATCCTCAGTTAGATCGCTCCTCCACTCAACCAGGTACCCTTTCACGTTCAGCTAGAGCAGTTAATTCATTCATGACAGAATTTGGTGTATCAGATGCTTGGCGCTTCCTAAATCCTTTGCAGAAAGTTTACTCTTTCTTCTCTCCGGTCCATCATACTTTTACACGCATTGATCTTTTTTTGATCGACAATCGGCTACTTTCCTCGCTTATTGTTTGTAAATACGAGGCAATTGTTCTTTCGGACCATGCTCCTGTCTCTGTAAATTTAGAATTTTCTTCACCACCAAAAAAGCAATCACTGTGGCGGCTAAACACTCGTCTGTTGTCCAATAAGAATTTTGTATCCTTTGTTGAACAGCAGATTGACTTTTTCCTTGTGAATAACAGGGGCCCTGGCGTTTCAGCTTCACTGCTGTGGGAAACTATGAAGGCTTATATTAGAGGTGAAATAATTTCTTATACAAAATTTGAGCAGAAGGTAAGAAGAGAAAAGCTGTCTAACTTGACATGTCGTATATCTCAACTGGACGACCTCTATTCAGTTTCTCCAACCCCAGATATATACAAGGAACGCGTTTTGTTACAGACAGAATTTGACGTGTTAATGACACAACGTACAACGGAAATGCTGCTTCAAACAGGAGCTCAATTTTACGAACATGGAGATAAAGCTGGAAAATTGCTGGCACACAGAATTAGACAAATATCAGAATCCCGACGAATCTCGCAAATTAAAACTGAAGACTGCACTACTACAGACCCAATTGAAATTAATTTGGCTTTTAAAAGTTATTACCAGACACTGTATTCATCTGAGTGTAATCCTTCCACATCTGACCTCGATGCTTTTTTTGAAAAGTTAGACATCCCCGTTATTGACAAGACCACTGGCGATCATCTTGAAAGGCCTCTAACTGCAGAGGAGCTTACTGAAGCAATTAAATCCATGCAGGGGGGTAAATGCCCTGGGCCTGATGGATATCCGTGTGAGTTCTACAAAAAATTTTGTGATAGGCTTTCACCTTTACTGTTGGATCTCTATAATGAATCTGTGCACCAGGGTTGTATGCCACAGACGTTAAATCAAGCCATTATTACTCTTCTAGCCAAGAAAGGTAAAGACCCTCAACTTTGTTCTTCTTATCGACCAATAAGTCTGTTAAATGTTGATTGTAAATTGTTAGCGAAGATACTGGCACTTCGTATAGAATCAGTCCTTCCTTCGATCGTTAAACCTGATCAGACAGGGTTTATCCGGAATAGGCATTCCTTTTCCAATATAAGACGTCTTTTTAATATAATTTATAATTCTACTCCTTCCAATACTCAAGAAGCCCTAATATCATTGGACGCTGAGAAGGCCTTTGATAGGGTGGAGTGGCTATATTTGTTCCATACTATTAAAAAATTTGGTTTTGGTGAGAATTTTAGTTGTTGGATTCGGTTGCTTTACTCTGATCCACACGCTTCCATTAGGACAAACGATGTCCAATCAGAGTATTTTCGCCTCCATCGCTCTACGAGGCAGGGGTGTCCACTGAGCCCTCTGTTATTTGCACTAGCAATAGAACCCCTTGCAATTGCACTTAGATCCAATCCAGATATCAGGGGAATATGTAGGTATGGAGTGGAAACCAAGGTGTCTTTGTATGCAGATGATTTACTTTTATATGTTACAGATCTGAACTCTTCGATTCCAGTTGCTATCAACACACTTCTTGAATTTGGACAGTTGTCTGGTTATAAATTAAATCTTTCCAAGAGTGAATTATTCCTTGTGAACTCTTCAACGGTAAACTTCTCCCTAAACACTCTGCCGTTCAAATTCTCACCTCAGGGGTTTACTTATTTAGGTATTCAGGTAACTCAGAGGTTTGCAGATCTTTTTGTAGCCAACTTTGCTCCACTGCTGACACGAATCAAGGAGGATTTTGATCGTTGGTCAGTACTTGGCTTATCCTTGGTGGCCAGGATCAATTGTATTAAGATGAACATTCTCCCCCGTTTCTCTTATCTTTTTCAATGCATTCCAATCTTCCTTGCACAATCTTTTTTCAATAAACTTGATACTATTATTCGGGAGTTTATTTGGGACAAGAAAATTCCCCGTATGCGAATGCAGTATTTGCAGAAATCAAAAAAGCTTGGAGGCATGGTCTTACCAGATTTTAAGTATTATTATTGGGCTTGTAATATTAGGATATTTAGGTACTGGCTTCAGATTGATGCTTTGGTCTCCCCAGCTTGGCTAGTCATGGAAGCAAACTCTGTAAAACCGGTTTCTCTGTTAGCCCTCCTACATTCACCTATTCAGTCCTCGATCGCATCTTACACAGGCAATTGTATGGTCAGGATTTCGTTAAAGATTTGGTCACAATTCCGGCGGCGCTTCGGTTTGCAAGCCTTTTCTCTGTCTGCTCCTTTAGCTCATAATCACGCTTTTTTGCCCTCTCTTACAGATGGCTTTTGCATATTGTGGTCGAGAAATGGTATTAGGTCTTTCAGAGATCTATACATTGATAATGTATTTGCTTCGTTTCAACAACTTTCTGATAAGTTTTCTTTACCACGTAGCCACTTCTTTCGTTATTTGCAGATACGTAGTTTTGTCCGTAACATGTTCCCGGCCTTTCCTGATTCTCCGGGAAATTCCCCCATTGATGAGTTTCTCGAACCTATTCCTTCTTTGAAAGGCGTGATTTCAATTGTTTATAAT